AAAAAAAAAAGAGATTCGAAAGAAAGTAAGCATGATACACTGACGATTCATTTCTGACTGACTTACTAGTCATCCACTTTTTCACTCATGTTTTAACTCTTTAACAGCTCTTCTATTCAGTTTTTATGCGAATTCAAACGAAAAAAGGTATACGCAAAATGATATGTTCTTAATTTTGATTGATAAAGAATGTTGGAATTTGAAACACCGATTTAGAGCAGGTACGAAAAGAAGAATAAACTTGAAAAAAGACCAAAAATGACAAAAAAAAAAAAAAGAGATTAAACCTTATCTTGTCTTTTATTTTTTTCTGTATATTATTCTTCGTAGGAGCATATTCAGCGAATAAAATTTTTATTGTAGATCTTTTGTTTTCAGTAGCAAACCTTTTTTCGTCAGGCTTTAAATATCTAAGTACATTTTGCGCTTTTGTATTTGTTTATGGATAAGTATGACTTTTTGTTTAACCTCTGTTGACATATTGAGTATAATTATCGCTGTTAGCAATAAAAGAAATCTTCACCAAATTTTTTTTGTACATTTATTTTAAATCTGGATAAATACACAGAAGAATAGCAAAAGCAACACAAATAAGCTCATGCAAGGATAAAAAACCAATGTAATCAAAAGATAATCAGAAGAAGAAAGTGTTAACGAATGAAAGAAGAAGATCAGTGAGCTTTGTTTTTACGTTTTCACTTCAATAGATCCTATTATTAGCAAGAAAATAGAGAAGTAGACGAAAAAGAGGAAAAAATAAAGAAAAAACAGCACCGAAGAACTGATACTGGTGCTCGGTAAACACACTTCAAAAACATTAGATGATGACTGTCAGTCTTCAACAACTCCTCACTGCTCCAATTTTTTTTTAGCATTTTTTTTCCCACTTTATTTTTTGCACTTAACATCTCAATATGTACCGTTCTAGCTTATTAGATGATAGTTTTTTTCTTTCCTTCTTTTTCAATCATCTTTTCCTTACGTACCTAAAGTAACTATACAGGCCCGTTATCGGATGTTTGTTCCGGATACGGTACGGTTACTGCTCTAAAAAAAATTGTTGACCAAACTACTTCTACGCTCGTTTGTTTGTTTATTTATCTGCGGTCTTATGCGACTTGCAACAAATTTTTGAATCTGTGTTATTAATAGC